CAACAAGAGTCGTTTAACTTTAATATCTGTTGTTCAGCTTAAAATAATGTAATAGACATGTAATAGGCTATGTTTTGACGTCCATGAGTAAGAAGTCTGAATGTGACGAAATGAGTAACTTCAAAATTAGTCATAACCTTGAAGAACACCAAACAAACATTGCTTTGAATATAACCTAAGTAAACTATTAAAACAAAACACAAAGCGGAACTCACCCGCTCCCCTCACATTATCTGCATGGCAGCGATTTCAAAGCTCTCCAAGTCTTTGTCCATCTCGGTTCGCAGTTCCTCACTTCTGCACAATGTCCTCTAACATCGTGCTGAGAAAGACGACGAGCCTGTCTTGAGACAAGACCCGAATGTTTTAATCGCTTTGTTTCTTCATTAATTCCTCCTGTCTACGACACATCCCTCCGGGGTCTAGTAGGATAATTGTAACCTTAATTTAGGTTGGCTGTTCTCCGTACTGACGCTCCTCTGCACTCGCTCTAACTTCCAACTCCCACCTGCCCGTTTCAATACGAGTGAACATCCAAACCCCAGCGGTTTAGATAGCAGATCGGTGTTTACTGGTCTATTCAGCAGAGCTGATGAAGGATAACACTCGTGAGGGCACTCTGAGAGAATGACAGATATTTGTGAGGCTTAATGTCCAAATCTCCGGATTTAGGTAAAGCAGCAGATGGTTGCCTGAGTGAGACTCGTGGCTTGGAGATGGTTGAAAACATCTCATGGGACACGTTTAGTTTAATCAATTTATACGATACAAACGTTCACAGTGTGACTTTTTGTGGTAAACTGGTATTAATTGCTTGGTATTTTGTAGAAAAGAGAACAAAAATCCCAAACTAAAATAGTCTACTTAAAAAAATAAAATAATAATAATAATAGGCCTAATAATAGCCTAATAATTTAGGCAAAATGCTGGCATCCGTGGTTGACAGAACTTTACTGTAAAAATGGGACAATATTACAAGAGTTATGGAATGACTCCGATTTAGCCATAAAAATGCTATAAACATCAACTAAAAGGCAACAGGGCACATAAATTGTCTAAAAATGGGCGACCAACATTTTAAATAAGTACTGTTTGCTGTGCAGTGGTTGCACAGGGAATTCTGGGAATGCCCATTTCGTGAATACGCAATCACTTGGCTACTTGTAGCATACAGCCTACTTATTTAAAAAGGCCTATTATTTATTGATTATTACTCTTATATATTAAAACGTTGCACTGTAAAAGTATGTATAGGCCTATTGCCTTGTTGCATAGCCTACTGTATTGTGTAAATTCTCTCAGTATTAGATAATTCATAATTTTGTACTTTTAATACATTTAACAATATTTTTAGTTAACAAATCATCTTCATTGTCTTTTAAAATATAATATATATGTTTAACTGTATATAGGTAAGGCTTTTCTTTATTTTTTAATACTTTTCTGTTAAAATAACTATATTTTTATGGTGTTTGCTAAGTAGGCTACAGTGCAGATAAGATAATGATAAATCACACTATTTGTTTTCATGAGGTTTTAAGTCAGATGTGTGCAGGCCTGCAAACAAGATCCTCTAACCAGGGTCAGATCTCCCAGGGACTAAAATAGCTTTTAATTCATGATTTTTAAGAACAGCCATTCACCTTCATTTTATAATACACAAAGTTTGAAGTTCACCATCTGTGGAGAGACAACAATGTTATATAACTTGCCTTAAAACATCTCTGTGGTTAATTTAGACTGTGATAGATTTTACCCTTCATGATGAAAAACCCCTGAAAAAAAGCCACATAATCGCTAACATTCAGAATGCATTTATTCTTAAATAACTTCGGTGCCTTCTTAATGGACATCACACAACATTAACCAGCACCATTGATGTAAAAAGGATATGTCATCCTTTATTTTATTCAAATTTTTGAGTGAGGATGACAAGGATTGTACACCCAATGAACCATATCAGGGGTGTGATATTTAGTCTAAAAGAAACAATGAATCATGCAGGTCATGCTATTGCCATTTGTTCACAATAATAATAAGGATGTTCCTAAATGGCAACAGGTTTTCACATGGGTATTTACTTCTATTACAATCCATGGATAGCGCAAGTAAAATAGAAACAGATATATCTGCACTGGAGTAGCAGATAGTGGTTTGGGAGAACAATGACGCTCTCCACATTGCCTGTAGGATTTTAATTAAATCTGGCCACTAGAGGGAAAACATTTCAAATGAAAGAAGGGACTGAGTGCAGAAAAGTCTCTAATATAGGAAGCATTCACCTTTATCCTCATTAAACAGCTCTAAGTTCTTTAAACTTCACGAAAGTAATCCATCACAACAAGACTGGCCTATTTTACCAAACCCTTTGTCTTTTCATGTTACTGTCTGTCTAACTATAGTGTTATCAACTATATAATAATATAATATAATTACTTAAAAAATCAAATTGTTTGAATTAAATGCCTCAGACACTGGGACAGATGGTTTAGATATCAGGCGCGGAGATACAAGTCTGGGGACGGAATAAGGTTTAAAATGTCTGTGTGTTGTTATATGTGTTGCACGTTTGTTTCAGAAAGTTTGTCCTTGCATGTTTGCATGTTCGGCTTAAGCTTGCCGTTCCAAAGCTATGTATGTATTGATTGAAAGATTGAATTTATTTCTGCCATACATCTGCAAAAGTTCTTATTGAGAATTAACATTGTTTAGATTGAAGGGTTGGTCAAAATCCCTTGCCTCTTCAAATACATATATAATCATATGTCATTTTGAATGGTTATATACTTCCTTTATAAAAATCAATAATCAAATATATTCATTATCACATAATAATTTTTATATTCTTGTGCCTGTGAAATTATATTTTCTTAAATGCATGGATGCAAGTAACCAGTTTCTTTTAGGTGCCTCCCAATCTTACTTTGAGATTGCACGTAGTACACGCAGGACACGAAGGCCACGTAACCCACAAGGCCGTTTGTCTCTTTCTCTGGGATCAGTAGAAAGGTTAGAGGGTCCTAAAGGCAGCGTGGACACATATGATCCTTCGTTGGACATATGGTCAAGCTATATTGAGCGTTACTATCAAACTTTAATTGTTGTATTAAAATGTATTCTTTCCAGTATATTTCCTTCCTTGGGAGTAAATACCAGTGATCTGTTTTTCTCCCAAACGAGTGAATGTTTTAGCAGTATGTTTTGGTATACTTAACTGATAATAAGGAGCTCAGACTCTCTTCAGCCTTGATGGGAGCTGTTATTTGCTAGTGTCTGTTATTTGTGTAGGTTCTGGACGGTCGGACCAGACACCCCGGCGCCCTTCTCTAACCTGCTAGGCCACCACAGACCTAAATCCAATGAGTGGACGACAACTATCTTTACTAATGGCGATAGGCACCCCTATCTCCTCACATGTGTTAAATTGTTTAGGCTTTAATGTTTCTTAGCCAATGAGAATCATTCAACCTGTAAGCAATGACGTAGCTTAGACCTTGGAAATGGTATAACTGCTGTGATCTTTGTAACTGTAAGGGGGGCGGCCTACGAACTCCTATGTGAGTCTTGAAGCTGACTTCTGCTGATGAAAAATGCAAACTATCTTCAGTAAAACTTTTCTTTAATTTTTTATAATTCTGACTCCGGGTCTTCATTCTTCATATCTGGTTCTGGGTCTTTGACTGTATACCCCTTACAGTTATGGTGGAGGATGCGCTGGCAATTATTCTCGGTGACACCCCTGGCAAATCAACAAACAAGGTAGTAAGCTTTTGTTAATTGTTAGGGCTGTCTGACTGGAAGAGATTTTGAAGGAGAGCGGGAGAGCTTCACTCCGATGAGGCGAGTGAAGCTTCACTCCGATGAGGCGAGTGAAGGAGTAAGTTAATTATACTGCTGACAGTATAAGAAGTCGCTGAGAGCGTCGTTAAGGGTAACGGCAGCAGACAGCGCAAGCGAAGCGTGCTCTGTGGGGGCCCCGCTGGGCATTACTGGTGTAGCACCACCCCAGCAGAGCACGTCCCTGGGCTAGAGGTCCAGTGGCACCGTAAACCTGCTCAATCTCTTCCATCTCAGATAGGGGATCCCCGAACTTAGTGAAGTGAATCAGGCAGTTAGGGATACTAACAATAATAGGGTTGTTTGCCAGGGATGCATCAGGAACAATTCCGAGAGAAAAATTTAAAAAGTTGTGACCCAAATTGGCATGGACCAGTATATGTAACTGTGATTTTGGAGTATACTTTGGAGTTTCATCACTCAGAAGCCGAGCTGTGTTGTTCAAAGATCGCCGCCTCCATTTCTGCAATAACTTCAGGTGAGTATGAACCATGATTAAGATATGGCAGAAAAATGTAATAACTTAATCAGTAACCTGAAGAGTCCTGAAACAAATAGTGAGACAGGAAAAGCAAACGCTGTAAGCAGCTGTGCTCTAAAGCCCTCACTTTAAATAAATTTGCAGAAATGATTAAGTAAATGGTAGTCAGGATTTTTATTCTGATTGGAAATTTAAAAAAAAAAAAAAAAAAAACTTGACTGGCTACAAACAAACAAAGAAACAGAAAAATTAAAATGTTTAGCCTCGTATTGCTTACGATGATTACAAGAAGCAAGTGAAAGAAATTCTGGGTCAGGGATAATTTCCCTGGACAAGCGACTAAAGTTAAACAGACACTTTGTGAAAACAACTTAGAATATTTTGCAGCTTATGAAAATTAATGTTCTGCCAATAATAATGATGAAGATTATGATTGGGTTATTATGATTAAATCAGCCACTGGTGGACTGTAAAAGAATACAGAGAACTGCTTAATCAGTAGCTCTGTTTGCATTCCTGAATGGGACACACTGTTTCAAGGGTGTGATGCTGTAGTTGAGGCTGAAACAAATTTACCAGATGACAGAGAGTGTCTTGATTGTGGTCAGTAGGGCCATTTAACACGTGACACATTTCTGGTAATAATGTGAGTTTGAAAGTAGATCAGTGTTTAAATGACGATATTAAAGTTGTCGTCTGAGAAAGAACAAGAGATAAAACAAGGTCAAAAGATTGAAGTCTTAAAGTGAATCCTTTTGAAGAAAAGATCTATAATACTAATTTTTATAAGTGAATTGATGAATACAGGTTGATGTAAAATGAATGACTCCAACAAATGTGAGTTGCAGAATATATCAAAGTAACTAAAAGGATGATTGTGTTGCCATTAAAATTTTTAAAAAAGATTTTAGATGATATAGAGAGACTAATCTCACAGATGATTTACAATAACTGCAAAAGTATCACAAGCAGAGAGTGCTTGCCTCGTCAAACTTAGTGTGTGAATCCTAATTGGAGATTGATAAACTCCAAGAGAAATCTTAAGTCAAATATTAAACTATGGTTGAGAACTTGACAATTAAAATTGAGATTGAGAAATGTGAAACGTTATTGAGAACTAGAATAATTATTTTTATGTAAGAACAAATAAGCAGAAGCAGTACTGGATTAACAGTTGCTAAATGCTGATTAAACAAACAGCTTGAAAAGTTGACCATGAAAGAACTAGAAGCTGATGTTTTGCTTTCAAAAGATAAGTTTGTTATTGGCTGTAAGGAAACAGTTTGCTTATCTGAATCTGATGTGTGC